GCCAGTCATCTTCAACAATCTGTGTGACTAGAAAAAAATGAAATTGGAAATGACTAAGTGCTGATGCCCTTTGCTAATATGTGAAACTCTACCTATGATCAGACAACTGTACAGAAGTAACTTTTCCTGCTGTTGACAGACTCCCAGGTTGAGGTTTCTAAAACTCCTAATTACCAACTATGAGCCTGACTTCATCTACCCCCAGAAAGCAAGCAGTAGAGAGAGATGGTAAAAGACTACTCAACATAGACCAGACATTTGTTTCAGCAATTACATCATGGTCAAAATTTCACAGCAACTTTGATATTTTTGGTATATATCTCATTCTATGCCTGATTCTACATACCTTATATTAGTATGTTTAATTCATATTTTAATTAATTTTATAGGCATTTAATAATAATAAATTGAATAGCATAAACTGAAATTTAACGTCTGTTTAAATATTAGTTATTACTCTCATATTCTAGGCCCCTCTTAGTATTTTGTGTGACTGTTCCTATGACAAGACCATTGCACAGATCAGCTCTGCATGAATGTTAAAATCTTTGGAGGACATTACATAGTCTCTACCTTATTTTATTCTGTAGCTTCACAGTGTATCTTGTTTAAGTCAACCTAAGAAAACAGTAATGCGGTTTAAATATTTTATGTAATTATGTATATATGGGTATATATCCATCCCTTTGATTTATAAAATATAATAATTCTTTATATTAGCCCCATTTTTTTTCCCAAATATAAAAGATGTAGCTTGTCCAAGTTAACCAGTTAGTAAATAATGAAGTGGAGCTCAAAGCTCAGATTGAATCTAATTCATAGGGGTGCCTGGTTGGTTCAGTAGGTAGAGCATGTGACCATTGATCTCAGGGTCATGAGTTCAAGCCCCACTTGGACACAGGGGTTACTTAAAAAAAATCCAGTTCATAGCTTCACTGATTTTCATATGCATATGAATCGTCTGGGTATCTTGAAAAACTTTAGATTCTGGTTTAGAGTTCATGGCAGCTCCTGAGATTTTCCATTTCTCTTAAGTGGTACTTATGCAAAGCTCTTGGAAAACATTTGAGTAGCAAGGCTTTTATCTACACTGAATTGACAGAGTATGCAGATTTTTCTGACCCATACTTATTTTTTTCGTCTTATTATGGATTGCCATGTGAATCTGAAAAATAACAATAATATATGTTTGTGTTTTACAGAAAGGTCCAAATTCATATCATGTTGTTATATACTCTTAAGAAAAAATATTATTAAAAGACACATTTTTTTAAAAAAAAGTAGTTTCAACTTGTGCCAGACTACTACAATAGTTTTAAAATATTACTGATAGCCAACCTTGAACCTAGGCATGTTCCAAGCACAGTAAGGATAAACTAAAGAATAATGTAAAGTGCCTGCCATTACAAAGCTCATAATTCAGTTAGGGATATAGGAAAAGTACAAATGAAAACATATCATAAATATAATTACATTATGTAGTTTGAAAATTACCAACTTTCCCAGAAGGAAGAAGTTTCAGACTTGGGCCTGATCTGGAAGTATGGGAAGAATTAGACAGATTTGGAAGAAAAGAAAAGAGGGGACATGGGTATCCCAAAAGTGAGAAGTTGAGCCAAAGTTAGGAATACATAGAGCACATCCTTTATGAACAAGGAAGTTTCGGGGGAGGGGTAGCGGCAAGCACATCTGAAAAGGAAAGCAAGGTAGGTACATAGTGAGTCTTGAGGGTCAGGCAGAGAATTTGGCATTTCTTTTGATAACGAAGGTGTCCATCATTATTACAAAGCACAGAGCATGGGCTGAGTGCTTAGACCCTATGATATTAATACTCTCCAAAATTGACATCGTAGTATGATTTTATGAAATTTTTTTTATCAGAAATGTAACACAAGAAATTAAGCTATGTAAATTAATGGGGTTGTCACTAATTACTGACTAGATGTGAAAATTGATCTTTCCAAAATCACGACCCGATTCGACATTGGTCAAATCACAAGTTTAGGCCTCACACGGGCTAATAGTTTTGAGAATTTCAGCAGAGTCACTCTTCCCCCACTCTCACTTAATTTTTCATGGGTAGTATTTGGGAAAATTACTGTATAACAGGTTTTACTTAGAGCCAGAAATCCAATTTGTGAGTTCAAGCCCTGCATCAGGCTCTGTGATGCCAGTGCAGAGCCTGCTTGGGATTCTCTGTCTCCCTCTCTCTGCCCCTCCCCCGCTCATGCTCTGTTTCTCTAAAAAAATTAATAAACATAAAAAAATACACAATAGAAATATTTCAACTTTGAAGAGAAAGGCAAAGAAGAGAATATAAAAACCTCAATTTTAGGCACTCCTGGGTGGCTTAGTCAGTCAAGTGTCTGACTTTGGCTCAGGTCATGATCTCATGGTTTGTGGGTTCAGGCCCCACATCAGGCTTTGTGCTGGACGGCTCAGAGCCTGTAGCCTGCTTCAGATTCTGTGTCTCCCTCTCTCTATGCCCCTCCTCAGCTTGTGCTCTGTCTCTCTTTCAAAAATAAATAAACATTAAGAAATTAAAAAAATAAACACCTCAATTTTAGAGTTGAAAAAAATAGTTAAGAGATTGTTAATTTTTGTTATTTTTAGCTTAAGTCCAGAACTTCCTTTAAAGGAGAGGGAAGGAAGGAAGGAGGGAAATGGGTGGGGGCAGAGAGAGAGAGAGAGAGAGAACAGTTGGAGAGAGGAGAGATACGGAGAGAGGGAAAGATCTTCATTTTATTTGTGTAGCCAACTCTTATTTCAGAATCCTATGTGCCTTGAAATTGGTACAGTTGGAATAATGGGCAGAGGAAAGATCCAAAGTCCATTATCTTTACATTACTACTATGTCTAACTGGTATCATTAAAATTGTATAGAAATTATCAACAGAAGGGAATGCTCAGCAGGAACTGTAGAAATATCAGAGTCACAAAAACAAATTGACTATATTCATTCAACAGTGCCCAGAGGAAAGGGACCATTATTCTACAATGATTCTACACTATTTCTTATGATAAATCAAAATCCTCCCCAGCTCGGAAATTGGTCAGAGAATGCAGAGAAATTGAGCACTCTGATCAAACCAGTCACTAATGCATAAAGAAGAACTCAGCAAGACACTGATTTACTAAGATATATGGAGACATTCCAGGTAGGAGCCAAAGGTCCAGCCTGGAAAGACTGTTGACTGCCTATTCCAGACAACTTCCGGATAATGCATCCAAGGCTACCTAAACTGCTTCGCCAGCCACCTGCTCCCACCTTTCCCTCCTAAATAGGAATCCCCTCACTAATTCAAACCCATCTTGAGCTGGGCTTGTCTTGCTACTTCTTGCACTTTAAACCGGTGATCTTGTTATACTGTGAGATACCTAGAGACACAGGGGAAGGAGTGCGTCTGTCTTGCTCATCCCTCTAACACCTAAGCCTAATACAGTGGCTGCACATAATAGATGGGGGGTTTGACTAAATAAGTAAAGGCTGACTTTCTAAACCCAAGCAATTCCGTGTGTAGTATTTTTGGACAAGAAAAATTTAATATGTCATATTTATTTTGCAGCAGGCTTTAATTTTTGTAAGTATCTTTCAGACAACACTAGTAAGCGGAAATATTTAAAAAAATTTTTAATATTTATTTATTATTTTGAGACAGAGCACAAGTAAGGGAAGGACAGAGAGAGAGGGAGACACAGAATACAAAGCAGGCTCCAGGTTCTGAGCTGTGAGCACAGAGCCTGACATGGGGCTCAAACTCACGAACTGCGAGATCATGACCTGAGCCAAAGTCGGATGCCCAACCCACTGAGC